TTTTTTTTTTTTAAACAGACCCCCTAATAGTTGCAGAGAAGTAGAGCAGCAGATTGGGAGGCAGATATTGGAAAGGTGCAGAAGTCACAGGGTTCTAGTCATGGGTGACTTCAACTTTCCAAATATTGATTGGAAACATTTTAGTTGTAATAGTTTAGATGGAGCTGATTTTGTCCAGTGTGTTCAGGAAGGATTCCTGACACAGTACGTAGATAGACCAACACGAGGAGAGGCCACTTTGGATTTGGTGCTTGGCAATGAACCAGGCCAAGTGTTAGACCTGTTGGTAGGAGAGCATTTTGGCGGTAGCGATCATAACTCTGTTACTTTTACAATAGTCATGGAAAAGGATAGGTACATACAGCAGGGTAAGGTTTATATTTGGGGGAAGGGTAATTACAATTCTGTTGGGCAAGAACTGGGTAACATAAATTGGGAACAGATGCTGTGAGGGAAGAGCACTATTGAAATGTGGAGATTGTTTAAGGAATGCATACTGCGTCTGCTCAAAATGTTTGTCCCTAGCAGGCAGGGAAGATGCGGTCAAGTGAGGGAGCTTTGGTTCTCAAGAGAGGTCGAATAACTGGTTAAGAGGAAGAAGGATGCTTATGTAAGGTTTAGGAAACAAGGAACGGAAATGGCTCTAGAGGGATACAAGTTATCCAGGAAGGAGCTGAAGAAAGAGCTTAGAAGAGCTATAAGGGGGCATGAGAAAACCTTGGCAGATAGGATCAAGGAAAACTCCAAGGCTTTTTACACGTACATGAGGAATAAGAGAATGACCAGAGAAAGGGTAGGGCCGATCAAGGATTGTAAAGGGAATTTGTGCACGGAGCCTAAAGAGATAGGAGAGGTCCTTAATGAATACTTTTCTTCGGTATTCACAACTCAGTGGACCTAGTTGTAGAGGAGGACAGCGTGAAACAGGCTGGTAGGCTAGAGAAGTCGATGTTAGTAAGGAAGATGTGCTAAGAATTTTGAGGAAGTTGAAGATAGATAAGTCCCCCGGGCCTGATGGGATTTATCCAAGCATTCTATGGGAAGCGAGGGAAGAGATCGCAGGGCCTTTGGCGATGATCTTTTCGTGATGATCTTTTCGTCCTCACTGTCCACTGTCCATAGTGCTGGAAGATTCATTTTGGAAGGACAAACTTGAAAGCAGAATACAGGGTTAATGGAAAGATTCTTAGCAGTGTGGAGGAGCAGAAGGATCTTGGGGTTCATGTTCACAGTTCCCTGAAAGCTGACACCCAGGTGGATAGAGTTGTTAAGAAGGCATATGGTGTGTTAGCTTTCATTAATAGAGGGATCGAGTTCAAGAGCTGTGAAGTTATGCTCCAGCTACTCAAAAGCCTGGTTCGGCCACATTTGAAAAATTGAAATATTGCCTCATTACAGGAAAGATGTGGAGGCGTTGGAAAAGGTGCAGAGGAGATTTACCAGGATGTTGCCTGGAATGGAGGGAAGGTCTTACGAGGAAAGGTTGACAGAGCTAGGGCTTTTCTCTTTAGAACGACGAAGGATGAGAGATGACTTGATAGAGGTGCACAAAATGATCAGAGCTATAGATAGAATGGACAGCCAGAGACTTTTTCCTAGGGTGGAGATAGCTATTACGAGGGGACATAGTTTTAAAGTGAGTGGAGGTAGATACAGGGGAGATGTCAGAGGTAGGTACTTTACTCCGAGAGTGGTAGGGGCGTGGAATGCATTGCCAGAGAGGGTAGTGGAGTCAGCCTCATTAGGGGCATTTAAGCGGCTATTAGATAGGCATTTGGATAATAGTATAAGGTAGGGGTGGAGGTCAGATAGACCTTAGGATTAGGGTAAAAGTTCGGCACAACATCGTGGGCCGAAGGGCCTGTACTGTGCTGTACTGTTCTATGTTCTATGAACTAGAGAACTGGACTTGAAGGGTGGTGATATTAAGGTCGATACTGTTGTGTAAACTGTTTACAGTGTGGGAGCAGGTTTCTAATACATTTGCAATAAGAGATCATTTTTGAAATATGAAGAAAATATTACTTTTAAAAAAATATTTATTAAGTTGTGCATTGTGGCAAACTTCAATACTTAAAAGACTATGAAAGGAGATCTGAATGTAGCTATTCATGGATTTATTTCCAGGATGTATATTTTGAATATTTTTACACATTTTTAGTTGGTAAGATTGGCTTTCATTCTGGAGGTTAACTTGTCTGTTTGCAATGCAAACTTTGAAGCCAGGTGCCACCAACAGTCTGGTCCACACGATCCACATTAAGAAAACTGGAAGTGAATGATACATGCCTGTTCTTAAATTTTACGGATTACTTTAAAAACTGTTTGCTTATGATGTAGGTGTGCTGGCTATTATTCACTCACTGTGTGTAAAAGCTTTTTCTCACCTTGCATTTGTTTCTTTTGCAAAATACATTAGAATTGTGCCTTCTGTTTCTTGATGTGTTTACAAGTAGGAGCAGCTTCTTCCTATCCATTCTGTCCAGACTCCTTACGATTTTGTAAACTTTTAACAAATCACATTTTAGCTTTCATATATGCTTTTTTTTAAAATCAGTTCTTTCTACCTGTCCTGCACTTTCTGTCCCTGTACACCCTTTAGAATACAGTGTATCTTGTGTTCTTTGTATGAAAGTGCATCACCTTACCTTCTCCACATAGAACTTCATCTACCATCTATTTGCCTACTTTATCAACGTGCCAATGTCCTTTTGAAGTGCTCTACTGACCTCCTCACAGTTTACAAATCTCTTAAGTTGTGTCGTCCACACAGATTGCCCCCTACACTACAAGATCGAGATCATTTATGTATATCTGGAAAAGCAAAGGTCCCAATACTGACCCTAGGGAACTCCACCACAAACCTTCTTCCAGCTCAAAAAGTAACCATTAACCATTAAACTCTGCTTCCTATACCTCAACCAATTTTATATTTACAATTGATTTTGTCCCTTTTATTCCACGACCAATAACTTTTTTCATAAGTCTGTTGTGTGGCACTGTACTGAACACATTTTGGAAATCCATGCACACCACAACATCAGCTGTTCCCTCATCAACCCTCTTTTCTACCTCTTTAAAAACCCTAGCTGGTTAGTCAGATTTTCATAAATCCATGTTAACACTTTTGAATCAGTCCACATTTGTCCATGTGACTATTAATTGTATCCTGAGTAATTGTTTCTCAAAAAATTAATGCGCTTCCATTTGTAATCACTTCTTGGCTTTGCCCCTTCCTCCTAATGCCTTCCATCTTTGACATGTAATATTGTTTAATTACATTTTCGTGAAACACTAATATTTTACCACACTTGCAACTGGTTCTTGCATTTGGGACAGACAATAAATCTATTTAGAGAAAGGATAAAGAATCCAAAGTGAATTAGTTTGGGCAGTCTCAACATTTTAAGCGCAGGATGCAAACTAACCATAATAAGTCACTGAGATAGTAGGAACTGTAGATGCTGGAGAATCTGAGATAACAAGGTGTAGAGCTGGATGAACACAGCAGGCCAAGCAGCATCAGAGGAGCAGGAAGGCTGACGTTTTGGGCCTAGACCCTTCTTCAG